TTTCCCCCCCGGAAAAAAAAATTCTGGAAATTTTACATCTCAGCACAGACCGTCAGGCGTTTGAGCGTGGTCTTGGACACCTCCTTTATCTATGGAGGCCCAGATCATGAATGCCGCCAAGCTGGCATTCTTCCAACTGCACCAGGCAGGGCAACTGCCCCCTTTCCTGTCTCCCCCTGACCTGGTCACAGTAATCCACACGACGGTCACCTCCAGACTGGATCACTGTAACTCGCTTTATGCTGGCCTGCCCTTGGGACTCATCCGGAAACTCCCAACTGATCCAGAATGCGGCAGCGCGAGTCCTGCCAGGAACGTCACAGCCAGCACATAGTCAACCTGTGCTGCGTCAACCGCGCTGGCTTCCAGTAGAGTACCAGATCGGGTTCAAGGTTTTGGTATTGAACTTCAAGGCCTTGAGTGGTCTGGGACCTTTGGGACCACCTCCTCTGGTCTGTCCCCTGAAGAGCACTACATTCCACCGAGAACAACCTACTGGCAATCCCTGCCCCAAAAGGCATCCTGCTGTCCATGACCAGGGCCTCTTCAGCCCTGTCCTCTGCCTGGTGGGACTCTCTGCCAAATAACTTCCGTGCCCTGCGGGACCTGATGCAACCCGCAGAGTTTGTAAGGCAGAGATGTTCTGCCAGGCCTTTCGTTGAGAACAGCGACACGGGGCCACGGCCATCCAAGGGAAAACTCTATGGTTTTCCCTTGTATGGCCGTGCCCCCGCCCCCAGCATGCCTGGCGTCCTCCCATCATTTCTGGGTGACGTGCGTGCCCCCCGCTCCCGGCAAAGATCAACTTGGCAACCCTAGGGACAGCGCAATTCATAAATTGAAATTATAAACAAACAATGCCTAAGTTCAATGCAGGATGCATTTTGCGTCTTGATTTCTACACCACCAACCTCTAGCTACACATTTGTCCGTGATAGTGAGGAAAACAGACCAGAGTGATGTTGAGACCTGTCCAGAGATTTCGCCCAGGAAAATCTTCTAGAGGCCTCAGGTCTTATTTTGCAGAATTTCAAGGCACTGCCCTGCGTAATATATGGGCCCAGAGCCCTCTGAAAAGCAGCTCCTCCAAAAATCTTGCGGGGACTTTTATCTCGAAGGTGTGCCTGGCTGCTCACCCAATGAACTATCACCAGACGTGACCTTGGACAACAAATTAAGCAGCGATCTGAACTTCAAACATTTTCCACTGATGTTTTTCAAACAACACCAACTCCTCCCCCCTCCCGAAGAAACATCAAAAAGGCTGCACATTCAGCTCTTTATATTCCCACATCTGTCCTTTATTTCTTAGGGTGGAAAACCTGACTCCAGCTTTCTCACTGTGGAGAAGGGCGAAAGAGCAAGCGGAGTTGTTAGGCTTGGCTCCCAAACTTCCCCACTGGTGTTCACCGAGGGAAGTGCGCTCCATTCAGGGATCTCCCCATGGGTTGCTCTGCTAATGTTTCAACAGGAACAAAGAAAACTGTCTGTTTGTCTAAAGGATCGTTCACAAGCACCTCACATTTAACGTGCTTGATTCCTGTGTGGGAGGGAAGGCGGCATGGTGTATCCCCATTCTGTCAGATCTTGGAAGCTACGCAGGGTCGGCACTTGGAAGGGAGACCACCAGGAAGGCCCTGCCGAGGCAGGCCATGGCCATCCACCTCTGCTTCTCACTTGCCTTGAAAGCCCCTCGCTGGGTTCGCCATAAGTCGGCTGCCGCTTGAGGGCACTTGACACACACAATTCCTGTGTGGGAGATCCAGGTTTAGTCATCCTCTTCCACCCCAGGTTCTCACTAAGACCACAAGATGGGTGTGGGATCCTGACCCCTCTGTCTGCTAGGCAATACTGGCAGGAGGGAACCATTGCCATCATCTGTAACCAACGATGGTCCATGAACCTTGGTTGAGCTTTGAATACAGCCCTAGCAATGCCTTCTGCCAGCTGTGGGTTCTCCCTAGCCTTGTTTTCTCCCTTACCACAAACAGCTGGGGCATCCGTTTGGCACTGCCACTCCAGACTTCGATGCTCATCCGTTGGCCTTTTTGCCTGGTGCTTCCCCGCCCAAGCTTAAAAAACTGATGTCACACAAGCGGCTAGCCCCTGTTATCAGAGATTTAAAAACCTGATGTCAAATGGAGTGTCTGGAAGAAACAGATCAGAGTCCAGTAACTCCACAGAGGCCAACGATATTTCTGGGCATAGGCTCCCTTGGGAGCTTTGATCTCAAAAGCTCAGGCCCCGCAAGATCTCGTTAGTCTGTAAGGTGCTACTGGAGTCACGCCTGGTTCTTTCACTGCAGATCAACATAGCTATACCTTCTGAAACTATCTGATGGAAACAAGGGCTGAGCAATAGAAGCTAGCTAAAGCAGTGTAAAAGACCCATAAAAAGAAACTCATTTGAATGTACTCTGAAAAACATACAACAAAAATGTGAGCGTTGCCACCTTTTATAACACCGTGAGCCAATTATTAGGTGCCTCCAAAGCTGTGTAAAAGACCCATAAAAAGAAACACTCATTTGAATGCACTCTGAAAAACACACAACAAAAATGTGAGCGTCGCCACCTTTTATAACACCGTGAGCCAATTATCCCCACTGACTTCCACTGCGTTGGCTCTGTGTCCATTTTTCTTAACATCTCAGCTTGCGCAGTAAAATTCGACAAAGCTGGCTTTGGTTTCTGTTCCATGTTCAGCACTGAAGACCCAAGGATATAACATCCTGCATGGGGCATGTTTATTTGCTTCTGAGCATCTGCTTCAGCTGGAATTTTTCAAAACTTCCCAGTGGGATATAGATGTTTCTTGGTAGCTGTTCATTCTTGAAAAAGGGACACTTGGAGACAAACAGGCGACTGTGAACTGGGAATGCGCTTGGCAGTCTTAGGCCGCTGGTTCCCTGACAGACAGTTCAGTGATAGGACTATAGATCTGCTGAGGTCCCAACTCTGAGAGCCGGGAAACAAACCATGAGAACTCAGGAGCCTAAGCAGAAAGCCCTGCCCAAGACACAACTCATAAATGTAGGGGTCATTTCCTGCAGGAGCGCACAGGAGCGGAGCTCCGGCAGTAAAGAGCCCAGGGGGCAGGCACATGCAACAAGCCCCACCCCCTGCTCCCAGCAGCCCTCAGTCAGAGCAAGAAGCAGCCAGGTAAGTTGCAGAGCCCCCCCCCCCAGTCCAAAACAGTCCAGTGGCACCTTTAAGACCAAGTTTTATTCAGGTACAAGCTCTCCCTCCTCTGCAAGGACAGATCTGCACGTCCCCCCCCCCAATAGCTAGCAATCCAAAACAGTCCAGTGGAGCCTGAGCGGTGGGTATTGCCTTCTGACACACTTCCGGTGATGTCAGGGGGTGTGGCATATGCAAATAAGTTATGATAATGAGTTATGCTAATGAGCTCCTGCACCTCTTTTTCTACGAAATGACCCCTAAATGACCCGCCCTGCCCACACTTAACAACACTCGGGACCTGGTGTAGACACTATGCAGTGTTTTGTTAAAATGGCTGCATCAAATTCTCATACCACAGAAATGTGCATAGATGGAAATCCTGCAAATGACTATTTTATACAGAGAAAATTTGTAGGAGTCCTTGCTATGTCTCTTCCCCTGTATCCCCAAACAGTGAGCCTAGGCGGCTTTACCAAGGTTAGATAAATTCATAGAGGATTAAACATATCGACAGCCATAAGAGATAAGTGGAACTTCAATATAGCACAGAAAATAAATGTCAGTTGCTGGTAGGTTGGCCATCTCCCTGACAGGGTCAGGGAATTCTCCGCTGCTAATCAGCTGGATGGCTGGGGGACTTACTAATGGAGGGGGAGGCCTGCACTATCATCTCGACATCTCACTTCTGGCAGGTTGCCAGTGATGCGGGGACACTCTGGTATTTGAGCAAAAACTCTATGGTGAAAATGGAATCCACTGCCACAGGAGGTGCCACATGGAATTCACTGCCACAGGAGGTGGTGGCGGCTACAAGCATGGACAGCTTCAAGAGGGAATTAGATAAGCATATGGAGCAGAGGTCCATCGGTGGCTATTAGCCACAAGGTATAGATAAGGACTCTGGGGCAAGTGACGCTCTGTCTTCTTGGTGCTTGGGGGGGGGCAACAGTGGGAGGGCTTCTAGTGTCCTGGCCCCACTGATGGCCCCACTGATGGACCACTGTGTGACACTGAGTGTTGGGCTGGATGGGCCATTGGCCTGATCCAACATTGGCTTTTCTTATATTCTTATGGCTTCTGCCATAGAGCTTTTGCCCAAATACCACAGGGTCCCTGTGTCACCAGCAACGTGATGACATCACTTCGAGGACGTGCTGTAAGTGATGTTGTTGCATTGCCAGCAATGATGCTGAGATGCTGGTGTAGGCCTTCCCTGCTGCCAGTAAGTTCCCCTGCGCCTCCCCGCCAGTTGCCAGGGTTTCCTGGAAACCCTAGCCTTGGAGACTGCTGCCTTTATGTCCTGCCAGTAAACTTCCCAGAAATGCCTTACTGGTCTTTGCTGAACATAGAATGTCAGGAAACTTTAGTATTGCCAACTCCGAGTTGGGAAATGCCTTGAGATTTTTGGGGTGGAGCCTGGGGACAGCCGGGTTCAGGGACCTCAGCAGGGAAGGTCATAGAGCCCACCCTCCAAAGTCACCATTTTCTCCAGGGGAACTGATCTCTGTAGTTTGGAGATCAGTTGTTATTCTGGGAGATTTCCAGGCAACCCGCAACCCAGCAGGGCTCTTTTTTATACAGTCTTCATCTATTGCCAAAATCCGGGTTTAAGGAAATTTCTCCATAGGTCAGTTTTTAAAGGGACCTTGTTAGAAACGCTTCCTTGTTTACTTCAGGCAAGCTTCCGCTCCCTTTAAAGACCTTTACAAGTGACGACAAAGCCATTCCGGGTTATTCACATCAGAGGCCTGTATGAGCTTTGATGTGAATGTCGCGAACAGGATAGGCTGCTATGAATCCAGATCCACCTTCTACTCACAGGTTGTCTTGAGGGCCGCACGCCTCCCACGCCCACTGGATGCTGGGAAGAGGTGTCCCGCTTGCTGTGCACTTGAGGCTGTATTCTCCCCCTTTTGTGAACAGGTCTTGGTCTTTGTTCTTGTCTAAATCTGTCTCCTTTTCATAAATTTTGGGTCTCTCTAGAAAGGAAAAAGACCAGAAGCAATTCATCAGACAACCAA